GCTGGATGGAAAGAGAAAGCGAGACAGAGGAGGAAGAAAAAAGGTTTACCAAAAATACACAAAAATAAAGAGGTCGACGTCCGTCTTCTTCAGCAGAACTGGTCACAGCACGGTTGCTGATGTGCAAACAGCTCAACCAATCACGCACAACTTCAGTGCCAGAAGTCAATCCAGCATCTGCGGACACACACTCAGCAGCCAATCCACTCATCAGGTCGTGTGGGTGTCGGGAATGTGAGCACATATCTGGCCCCGAACAGAAAGCCCACAACTCAGCTGGTTAGAATTAGCAGTCGCTCTTTAAAACAACAAGTAAGAACTGGTAGCAGCAGAGAAAAACCTTTTGGTATGATTAAGTCAACTGCGCTGGGGATTAATTAAAAAACAGAAAAAAAACTGTCCAATCAGATTGGGATGAAATTTCATTTAAAGTTCCAAAAAGCCGCAACCCTTTGACAATTGTGTGTCCACATATAAAATAAAACACGCACACACTTAACATAAAATATGAGGACATCTTTCAACAACAGAAGTTGCTTAAAACTCACCTTAAAGCGAGTGTGTGTTATGCTTCTCAAGAAGTGTTCACACAAACATCCGTATCAACTTGTACTTGTAAATGCAAATGTAAATACATTTGGACCAAGGCCTTACTGACACGTTTCTTGTTGACTCTCGTCATCGTCATCATATCTCTTTCCCTCATCCTCCCTTCCAGTCATGAAGACGGTTCTCCTGTACATCCACAAACAGTGCCGTACCTTGGCCAGTCTGCCCATCTGGTCCTCCGTCAGGCTGCTGCTGGTGCGTCCTGGTGTGGAAGTGGGCTCTCCTCCGTCGCCCTCCACACCCGGCCAAACCTTCAGGTCATGCATCCCTTGCCGGAACATACTAGAAGAAAACAGGAGGGGGTGGATTTTACTCCTCATCTCCCAGTGCAGCTGCGAGGGGAAGCTGAACTTTCAACCTAGTAGCAAAACACAGCACTTTGCGACATTGTCTTATGTCGTCCGGAACAACACAAGTAGTAGAGTGAAGCTGGACTCACCCATATTTGCCAAACAAGGTGACAGTGGTTCCCCCGACGGGAACGGCTCTGCCGGGCCCGTAGACGTCCCACACTGTGAGAGCCACCTGGGCACTTTGGGGAAGGTCCGGGTACTTGACTGGCAGCCGCAGCCACTCGTTCCAGCTGCGCAGGACGGCAGGAGAGAAGATGAAGAGTGTAGGAGGAAGGGGAGAAGGGTCAGAGGAACTGAAATGCAACTCCTGTCAAAGTATTTGTTTCTAGCAACAGCGAAATGACAAGATTGTTTTGGTAGTAACAAGACTCTAGAGTTCCGATTGAGGTTTTAGAGGCGGGGGTTTGCTCTTCCACTCAATGTCCCCAGGGCTGAAAAGAGAAGCGAGCAAATACAAAGTGGTGGACTCATTCTCACTTCCAACGTGTGCTGAAGGCTTTGTAGGAGGTGCGTACAGGCAGGGCGAGCGGTTTCCCTTCAGCAAACACCTGACAGGTGACGTAGAGGTCCGAGCAGTTCTCCTGGTAGAGGCCAGAGAACCTCAGCATGGGGTCTTCCAGCAGCGCTTTGTAGCTCTTCTGCTCCCGTTTCCCCTCCAAACTGCCTCTGGAGGAGCAAACGAGAGGCTGAGGAAGGCCGAGAGGAAGGAGGGAAACAACTGTGCTGATGTTTTAAAGCTTGTTCTGACACAGAAAAAGTCAACATATCTGAACTATTACCTGGGAGACATGCTTCCAACTCGTCTCCTTAAACACTACCTTTGTTTTCATTAGCTTAATACTAAGTGACAAATAAATAGGACAAATAAAATCTGGACCAACACAACTGCATGTCTGTGTGTGTGTATACAGTGTAGCTGGTTAACATGTGTGCCGAATCCATTGGGTCAGACTGAGGCACAAGATTAGACTCATGAGGCACATGATTTCAACAAAGAGATCACTGTGTTTACCAATCAGTTAACTGGTTCAAAATATAATATACCTTTATTGTTACAACGATGTTGTCTCAATAATGCAAAAGGAAACACAATAACACGAACACATCCATGTTGGAAGGTACTTTGGTAAAAGGCGAAGCTAAAAACTGTTTTAACACCTCATTCTGGGATTCGTAATATAATAAATATGACGTTTACTTAAATGTTTGATTTTATAAACGGCCTGATAGGAAAAGGTTTTAATTGAGGGAGAAATAAATCCAATAGACTCACAAACAGAGGAAGCTTCCTGTCAAGTCACAAGACAGATTAGTTACACCGCTTGAAATACTAACGTGAAGTACAAAACTTACATCTTAAGTTGAACGTTGATGTCCAAGTCACAACTGTAAACATAGTTGAATTTATCAGTGTCCATCTTCCGACGGGGAAACACTCAATTTTTACCAAAAACCTGACGACTTCAACATGAAATCGCGGACGGTTGTACGAGACTTTGCGAGCAGTTGTGTTTGCGACAAGGCCTCGGCACAAAAACACTCCCCGGAACCCCGCGCAACGCGCTGCTCACACGGACAGTGACCCAACCCGTCCGGACACAAGTTTAAAAGGATAACTTTGAGCACCTGTATTCACGGTAACGACATTATTTTAACGGCTGTCTGGCGGGGCATGATTTGGATGTTTTAGATAGCTAACGTACACAACAACATAGCAGCAGCCAAAATCTAACCACGAGGCAAAAGTAATCAATTCTCGATGCACTGGGATGGATAAGACTGAGTAGTGCATCGCTGAATCGTGTTTTGATTTGTCGAGCCTGATCGGAGCAAGAAGGAAGTAGGGAAGGGGCGTGGTTAATGGCACGCCAATTAAAGGCACAGTGCACGCAAGAGTGTCACATTTTATAAAGCATTATTTTGAGAATACTATAATGTTCCTAAATACCTGAACGTCTTGAGCCACGTAAATAAAAACAATAAATACCCAATACATATTAGCTCTATATAGTGTATAAAAACGTCTTACGTTAGCTAATTTTTGTTTATCAGTTTTGGCAGTTTTTCGCAGTTTTTCGCACAGATTGGCATAGATTATACATCTTTAAGTAATTTTTTTTGGTCAAAATTGTTAAATGATAACGTGTAACAGTTTAGAAGCAGCTTTAATCACTAATATAAATATTTCTTTTTTCAAATATGATATGCTATAAATATAATAATCATTTATTATAAGAAAAAAAAAAGCTTCTTTCTGTGCACCTTGTCTTTGTGGAAGATATTTATGGACTATAAAGAAGCCCTAACAAGAGCAGCCCTTTGACCAAACACCATGACAGACATTAGGACTTTCGAACAGAAAGTTCTCCTCAATTAAAACACACTTGTCACCAATTAAGTGCATACCCGTGAAGGGCAACGGGTGTGTGACAGGAAAATCCACATCTTTTGTTTTGACGAGGTCCTCCCTTTTTTATCAACGCTGAGGACAAACGGTTTCAGATCAGAGTGTGAACTCATCGTCAGGCTATTGTATGGGACCCTCAGGCACTGAAAAGGTCAGCACCACCCGAGTTGAGCTTATGGAACATCTGCTGTTGAAACCTCTTCCATCCTTTGAAAACAAAAATCTGAATGAAATGAATTGAAGGAGGAGGAACGGTTCTCTGACCTACTCAAACCATCTCTGCTGACAGGTACGTTTATTGTTACCGATATATTGGCCATAATAATAACAACAGCACTTGAACTGCAGTAAGTCTTTTTAAGAACAACATAAAGCTTGAAACAAGCAACTGTGATTCATTCAAATCTGACAACAGTAGAAGCAGCCTGAAAGATAAAGGAGGCCAGAGGAAAGAGCACGTTACACTGCATGTTGTGAGGCCCCGGGGCCTCCTGTGTGACGACTTTTCCTACGATCTTTCATCTCAGCAAACAACTAGAAGAAGATGAGCAAATGTTTCGTGGACCCAGGCAGTGTTATCGCGCCGCAACGCCAATTCAGATACTATTTGATATTGTTAAGATAACAGAGCAAATCCACGCGTCTGCACAAAGACGCACATCGCATTAGAGCCCAATCCATCTGATGCAGATATTTAGATCGGCGATACATCTCCCAAATGTCATGCACAAACACGTGGATTTAAGTTATGAGATTGATGAAGTGGAAAATATTTGTCAAAAGTGTATGAAAGGTCTGGAAAGAAAGAAAGAAATGCTATTCACAGGTTCCACTTACTTTGTTTTTCCATTTCTTTCAGCCCCATCTCATGACCTTTAGTCAGTTGATGATAATTATGGGAGACATCAATGAAAATTCCAGAACAAAACAATAACAAATTATTGCTTTGATCAAGTTTTAGTCAACAAATCTATTCTATCTATCTTCTAATTAAATTGTGCAATAATTACTTTTTTCAAAAGTCACTTTAAGTGACTCTGCAACATTGGATTTTCATTATACTATTACACGTATGATATGCTCTGAAAAAGAAGTAGTAAAGATGATATTCAACCTTTATATGTGTCTTGTGTCCTGAGACTGCACGACCATCATTCCTTTGGGGTTGGACTGACACGAGGTCACAAACTGCAGTTCACAATCTGAGATAACCATGCTGAGGTAGACAGGGGTCAGAGGTCACAGCAGGCTGCTGTGTGTATCAGGAAATTGGTAAGAAATTAAAGGAAAGCCCAGAATCATTCTTCCAAAAGGATACGCCATGATGTCGGTGTTGGTCTTCAAAGACTTTTGAAGCGTTTCGAGATATTTTCTGTTAACTTAAAGCACCCAATGCTGAAAAATACGTTTTTCAAGAAATGTGATTTAATCATTTTAGAAGATGAGTATTTAGGCATGTTTTTTACATTAGTCACTTCTTCAGCTTTTGGACGCCAACCTGGCCGAGCAAATGTATGAGAGGTTGACTGGTGATGAATCATCTCTGATAGTTCCATTCCATCTCTCTCTCTCTCTCTCTCTCTCTCTCTCTCTCTCTCTCTCTCTCTCTCTCTCTCTCTCTCCGGCTCTCCTTGGACATCACCCCTCTTTCTTTCCCTGCCCTCCATCTCACCCCTCTTCCCTGTCTTAGTCACCGCACGGATGTGTCATTGTTTCTATCACTTCGGAGGTTCATGCCCGCTGGAGCGCAGCGAGGTGATCTCCGGATCTTCACCTCCTCCAAACAAACCACCACCTCCCGATTTCCCAATGGATGGCATCGCTGACACCTTCCTCTGCCAGGCCTGTGGGCCACATGACGGCGCTGACCACACCTCCAGGCCGCGGCCGTAAAGGATGTATAAATAAGGGGGTAAGGCCAGAAGTGGGAGTAGAATCTGCTCAGACCAGATGAAGATGGAGCTCGCCGGGGTCAACTGGATGCTTGCAGCTGCCGTGTTTCTCCTGTGTGCCAGTGGCGGGTCTTCTGCGCCGATGCTGTGCCACTTCAACTCCAGAGGTAAGACATCTTATCTGGACCGAAGAAATCCAACATGTATCACAACCTTTTATAATTCATTTCTGACTGCCATGTGTTCCAGCGCTGTGTGAGTTCGAAGGGAGGCACTTCTCGCTGGGGGAAAGCTGGATGGACGACGCTTGTATGCAGTGCACCTGCCTGCATCCCGTCGGCGTCGGCTGCTGCGAGACGTGAGTGAACGACCCAGCTGTGTGGTTTGGTGCTCCAGATGCTGACAGTTGCTGTGCAGCAGCTGTAGCTTCAGAGAGAATGAACAAAATGGTAGAACTGACTTCATAGAAGTGGAGCTGGGGGGCAGCTATGGGGTGCAATGTAGTACGTAAGAACCCTACAATCTATAAATATTCATTGACAAGTTTTAGCAGAAAAGTGTGCTTTAGATATGAAAGCAGCCATGATGCCGAATGGACCTTTTCAGATATTTTTACAAATGTCATATACCCTTGAGAAGTTTAAGGACACATTAAACAACATGTTGTATATTTCTAAAATATGCTTCATAACTAAACCTATAAATAGCCCAGTAGTGGAGGGAAAGATAAAAGCTGTTGTGTAATTGAGATGAAGTAGAAAGTACCAGAGAATGTAACTCATTAAAAGGTAAATTTTTAATAAGAATCTTCTCCTCCGTCACAACTGTGCAGGGTGCATCGACCGGTGGATTTCCCTGCGTGGTGCGACGTGCGTGTGGATTCAGCGACGTGCAAAGTGGGCCTGGTCCAGACAGCCGACCCCCGCCTGCCCTGCTACCCTGGTGAGGAAATCAGGGACCCCGGCCACGGATCGCTTCAGCCGCAGCAGCACCTCATGGGGTAGAGAACTGCGCAGACCGGCGGCGATCTGCTCAGTGCCTGTGAAACCAGTACTCACCATAGTTAAATAACAGTAACCCTTTCATTTACATACTAATATAAAGCTTTAACAACATCTGTACTTTGTTTGATTGTATTATCAATGAAGGAAATGTGAGTGAGGTGTGTGTGTAAAAAATATATTTAAGTCAAATCTAGTGGAGAATATTTTTAAAACTAAACTCACCAAAGGATGGACCACAGTAACACACTTGTCTGTCCAATTCTTTGATTACTCCAATAATTATATATATATTTTGACCTGCTCTCAGCTGTAACCCTGTTATGCTCAAAATAAAAATCTTATTTACAAAGAGAAACCATGTTGAATTATGTGAAGAAATGATGGACATCACGTGTAACATCAAATTTAAATCACACTTTTAATGAATTGTCTTGTAGAATTTACATCTTAATAACGTTCATGCTCATGTTGAGGGAAAACTAATTGTTAATAAAAGCATTTTAAATGAGAAACATTACTATATAGTGAGTAAAGGAATCATATGAAATAAATACACAAATATGCATAAACCCCAAAGACAGTTGCACAACATAAGGTCCAAAAAAAAAGTATTTGAAGTTAAAAAGCACTGAATATTGCATATGGAAAAAGGCATGACATATGTTGCATAATATGCATATTAAATCCATCACTGCATATTCAATATAAATATGAAAAATAATGCTCCTTTTGAAATGAAAACATCTGTTCTCAATGTTACTCTCACTCAGACAAACACACACACACACACACACACACACACACACACACACACACACACACACACACACACACACACACACAGAGATACCATCAAAAATAGATTAACTTGTGAATATCTGTTGTTCACAAGCTCACACACATACAGATCAAATAGTAATGCTGTTGGTCCCGGTGAAGTGGGACATGTAGGACGCCAGCGCCGGGTTGGTGGGCAGGACTTTGATTGGCAGATCCCAGCTGAAGGTATCCACGTCAACATGCTCCGCCCCTGCCCAAACTGTGACCTCTGATTGGTTCTGCAGAACTGTCGGCGGTTCCATAGGCTCCCGGGCGGTGACGAACTCAAAGTGGAGGCGCCACCTCAACATCACTGTACAAGCAGAATTAAAATTTGGATTTTTGATTGACTACATAAAACAAAGTGGTGTCTCATTTATTACGTTATATTTCCCATTTGATGTGTTTCGGCCCACTGATGACCGACCTATGTCTGTGCTGAAGCCCGGTGTGACGTTGAGGGGGACGGGGAGAGAGAAATGGCTGGAGGCGGTGTGGAGGCAGGACTCCATGTGTCGCCCGTGTCCAGTCACGCTGATGACCTGACCGGGACGCCGCTGGTACTGCTGCTGGATCTCCTCCTCATTCTGAAGGCTTACCGAGTACTGGAACAAATGTACACAAATATAGTTGATGTTTAAAAAAAAACCCATGTAGATAAAAAGCCGGCAAACAAACCTGCAGGCAGGGAATGTCTCCCTCGGAGAAGTTGAAGGTACCGATGATGTCCTCCCCGAGTCTGTAAACTGTCTTGAAGATGCAGAACTTTGCCACTTTCCCACGCATGTTGGTGATGTTAAACATGTCTGTACAATGCAAAAGAACATTTAATCATTTGGACAATAAATAAGCACTGATAAACAGACAAAAGCGAATCACGCTTTGGGTTAGGTTACATAATGTAGTCCTTTAAACAACAAGAAAGAGCAGCGGGTCAGTGCAGGGACTCACGGGGGCAGCGTCTTGAGGTAGTGACCATCAGCATGTCCAAAGCTCTCTCCAAAGGCCGAGCATCCCTGCGGCTCGCTTCCTCCTCCTCCAGGAACGGGTTGGAGGGGGAAACCTCCTCATCCTGGGGGAATGGAGGCTCCGGCATGCCTACATGTTGGACAGAAAAATGTCAATATGCCACATTTCTTTCAGTTTTCTTTGACCACAAAAACAAACACTTACAGAAACATACATTTTGAATCAGCAGTGGCTGTGGCTCTACTTGTATTATTCATACAGTATATTATATATTACTAGAAGTAATCATTTATCCAAAAGTTTAAGTGACACACCTCTTTAGCACTGGAATGTTTGCAGTACGTAGTGCACACGTCTAATAGTCCAAATGGAGCTCACCTTGCAGAACCAGCACTCTGAAAGGAACTTTGAGCAGCTTGATAGCAGAGTTGACCCTCTGGCAGCCGATGGTCAGTTTGTAGACGTATTTCACCGCCTGGCCACGGAAACTAGGAGGACCGTCTACGGGTACGATCTCACTGTATGAATCTAGGGGAGAGTTTGCATGTCAGTGTTTGAATAAAACACAGAAACCAAATATGTTAATTTATAAATGTTGCAAGATTTTTTTCATAGCTTTGTGAAACTAGATTTCACTGAATTTGTGCATGTTTTTCACATCGGTACAGACGTACAGGTTTTGCTCTCCCCAGGATCCAGGCGTAGGTCACAGAATAATATTTTAGGTGGTGTGTCAAGAACACACTGACCTCTTTCTCCTGTAAAAGAAATTGATTCGTCTTTCACAGATGCAGCAACACGGCTATAAAAACAAGCCTGATAATATCCAGGGCATATATGCGTGATTGGAACTGATCTTATCTCAGATTAGATATTTTCTCTCCCACTGACCTCTGCTTGGAACGAGCACGGTGTTGCTCTCAGCCTGGACATCATGTTTGTTTCCTTGTGCCGGCAAGGCCACTCTGCTCTCACTGGCATGAAACTGGCAGTGGATCTGAGCACTGGCCCATGCCAGCATTTCACTGGGAACCAGCAAGCAAACACGGTTACAACGAGGCATTCAGAGGGACAGGCTAGATCATTTGTGTGTCCCGCATCACATGGTTCTCATCCATACGGGGTTACAAACCGATGGACATAAAAGATGATTGTTATTGAGTTTGTGGATCTGTATTTTTTCTGCCAGATAAACAGGAGCGCTCTGTCAACACATTGTGTTGCATTAGCACAAAGTTTCACAATCTAAATCAATTTGTTCATTAACCCACATTTTCAAATTGCACAGAGAACAATCACACATTTCGAACGTTTAACCTCCCTTTCTCTTACTACGTGAAATGTTTCCATTACACTCCAAACCACTTGTGCAAACTCTGACCAACAGTAGCAAGATCACAGAAACACACACATGTTGTTTCCTCACAAATAGTTTTTTTCTCCCCATGGGAATTGTCAGTCCTTGTTTGTGAACAATAACATTTTGCCTTCTAACTACATTATATTTGTCACATGATTCTGTTCAGTACTCTTCGTTCATTTGGAGGTTTTCTCAACAGACAGACATTGGCATCTTTAGGTCCATGTAGGTTAAATGGGTGAAAGGAGTTCAATCCTACCAGCTGGCAGAGGTGGACAGGTGGGACATCGGGTTGGTAAAAGTTATGAGACACTCGAGGAGCTCCCCGGAGAGAAACACGGGGCCCCTGGCCATCGAGGCCACCACCTCGATCATCTGTAACGTTAGACGTCCACAACACTAACGTTAAACATTAAATCACTATAATGGAAAAATTAACGTAAACGTTAATGATACGTCAACAAGAAGCAAGCAGAGTGGAGACAGAAGTTAACTTGTTCGGTCTTGCTAGCTAATGGCAGCTGTTTCACGGGTAATTCCAGTGCATACCTTAGCCTAGCCTGTTTCTGCGGGAAGACAGTTACGTCCACCTTTACACGGTGCAGCTAATTGAACTTCTTGGACAAACCAATGCGCGATTCGACGTTCTTTCCAGAAGGTGCTGTCATTGAGTTTGTAGTTAGCTAGCATTACAGCTAGCTACGATAAAAAAAAAATCAATATCCGGTGTTTCACGACCAATGACGAACCAAGGAAAAGTAAAACTCCAAAATAAAAACAAGTATCAGAAAAGGAAATCTAAAACTGTGTTGGCATGTAGAATTATTTTAATATAATAGTGTATTTCAATCGTTATAACATTTCTAAGAGAATAAAAACGGCAGTGTTGAATCCCAGTAACATGTTTTGGTCGGCCTCCCGTGGCACAGCCGACGAGAGGTGGACTGTTGCTATGGTAACTTGTAGGGAAGCGTTAACACAATATCTAAAGGTTATCTTTGATTATTGGGGTCAAATACCATCAAATTTCCCTAAGTCTTTTATGAAATGTCTGTACATTCTACTTTTATCTCTCTAATGTGTGGATAAATGCGAATTGGTGGAAAGGTGTGAGGGTGAAGAATAATGCCCCCTCCCCCCTATCTGTCCCAAATGGTACAGGCCAAGCAGCGGCTTCGTTCATGTATTAATATTTTCCCTGGGCTGGGTTTGTCAGGCGTAAACCACTTCCAGGCTTACTTAACTATTGCGCTTTTCCATCATACCCCAGCAACAACTAGCCAGTATTTCATTCTTGTCCAAGTTTGGCTCATTATCGTGATTTAAATGTGGATCTGGCAATGCTGTAAAAGGAGGCGCTGTGAAACGGGAGTCATTCGTACTGTTATTTTGTTGTCTGCGAGTTCATACTGAGGGGAAGGTGTTGGTCCTCCACCAATAACGACTATAAAAGATTTGCCTGTGCGGCGACTTGCTAGCTTGAGCTACAGCGTCCTGTCAGAGATCCGGTCTGACGCTGCAGTGGGATGACGCGTTCACTCTGGTATTTACAAAAATCAAAAACTACTTTATTGTTTTTTAAAGAAATGTAGCGGGTTTTAGCAGCACGGTTTTTTTTTTTTGCTCACCAAGGCGATCTATCCTCCTGTCATCCGTTCGGTTACTCCGCATGTACTGCAGGTAAATGCGATCACTACGTTTTAACCAATTCTGTCCGATCCTCTTTAATGTCATTTGTAGGTGTGCCGGTTGAACGACTGAGATCAGCATCCTCGGCCGGCCCCGGTTGGCCTTAAGCTGTCATCCATTCAGCCGCAGCTGAATCCGTCCGGAGTCCATGCGGAGGGTTCTGCAGTCTCTATCGAACAGGAATCCACAGGGCGGCTGTTGATGCAAAGTTTGCTGCATCTGGGCTCCGATGATATGAACATATTGAGCTGCAGAAGCTAAATAATAGTGATTTTATAATGGCACTTGGACCCCGGCGGAGCCATTCCTTACCCACAGGTATTCGGAGCTCGTCAATGGAAAACCGGTTCACCTCACAGGAATGACACTCTGAAGGCTGGGGATCCACTTATAGATTTCACATAAAGCAACCTCCTTTGTGTGTTCACTCCATACTGAATGCATGATAAACTGACGCCGTGGACAAAAGCTGGGGACAACTCCCTGTTTGTAGTCACAAAGTGTTTTTTTGGGCCCCATTCGCACCAACCAAGTAAGCTATCGTGCCAAAATGAACACAGAGTGGGGGGAGAAATCCTCAGCGGACCTCATGAGTAGGTATGTCTCCAAGGAAATGGGATGTGGAGTACCCAAAGACGGATGGAGGATCTGTCTGGCGCATGAGTTCAAGGAGAAGAGAAAGCCCTTTCAAGCTAAAGACGTGTCACTGTCCAACGTCTTGGAGCACGTCGGGCTTGGATTCAGGTGAGACATCCCCTCTTGTGTACAGTACGTAACACTACATATGCACTCTGTTTACATGGAGAAGACTGAGCATGGTAGAAATACTCTGATCACTTTTCACACTTCACTCAATCCGGTGATTTCCAGTTATGGAGCAGCATCGTTAACGTTTGATTTTTGTGGCAGTGTGAAAATCAGAACGTCTACAGGTCCACGCCCAGTTTCGTCATGATGTTGAAAGCCTCACCCCAGAGATTTAGCTACAACCGTTAGATCATTGCAACCAATGTTAACCCACGTGACTGTTTCCAGGGTAGTGCACCAGGGGAGGGCTGTCCCCTATAGTGTCCTATTCGTCTGTTCCCCACAGGGAGCAGGTGTGAAGCACAACCTTGCCTTGGAAGTCATCGCGTTTAACTTTTAAGACACTCCAATGATATGATATAAAACAATAAATACAGTTTTTACAAGCTTAATTTAAGCTTGGCGGTCTGCTTGTGAAGCTTACAGTTCTCAACATCTGCTGATCCGATTGCGTTTGTTTTGTCAACAACCTGCTGACATCCGAGATGCAAAGCTACACATTGTGCAGAATGTTACAACGGAGCTTCTCTATTATTTATGCTCCATATGACCGCGTGTAATTTTCTTTAAAGCTGCGAGGGAACAACATAGAGGCACATCACACCCCCCCAGAAAATGTTGCAAACCGTTGACGATGAGCAACATTCTGGCTTCTGGTGCAATGCTGCTCTTTCCATTTATCATCTGTGTGTCTGCAACCTTTTCTCCATTCGTCAATCATTGAACACATTATAGGGTTGTAAAAGCCCATTATACAATCAAACGCAAGTAGAGGAAGACGTTCCGCTCGTCGCCATGGGAGCGAGAGGTTTTGCAGCGTAGGATTACAATAATAAAAATAAAAAAAGGTTCACAAAAGCAGCAAAACTGGTAGAAATCTACAGAAAGGCTTTGCCTTTTGCACCTAAAACAAGCAGGCTAGCCGTGGAACACGTGGCTTTAATAAGCGGCGTTGGTGTGTCGACTGGGGCCAACAAGATACCAGCTGCAGCGCACACCGGTTTCGACCCCCCGGCAGCACATCGGACTTTGCCGGTGTTCAGAGGCCGATTGGGGAGAGGACTGACTGCTTGCATTGGAGCTGATCCGCGGAACAACGCCGCCCCGACAATAGTGCCACCTGCCATAGCTCCAAATAACTCTGATCCCATTCACCTCCGGAGTGGAGTGGACCATTGTTGTCTCTCCGGACTGAGCTTTCCCTGCGACTCCATTGTTTGCGATACAGTCAGACCCTCAACTGGCCTTCATGGTAGTTTTCCGGTTGCATGTCATCGTCCTCCAAACAGACAGTGAGGCCTTTTGTGGCTGACACCTAATTGATTATTCCGGTGTTTGAACAAGAACATAACAAAGCCACCTTTTCTCTCCGTTTTTTAGTTTCCGAGTGTTAACGAAAGTGACTCGCTGTGTAGTTTGGCCGCCTTATTAGAAAGAAAGACCACGTTATGGAATAAAAAAAGCCAGTTTCAGGCTCAAAGAAGAGATGCCGTTTCACACAACAAAGGCCGTGTTTAGGCCGCCCTGCACTCCCCAATTGATGAGAGACGAGATGCTTCAGGATCTGAGTGGCTCACCACCTGCTTAGCAGTTTGCCAGATAAAATCCGCTGTTGAAGCGGCAATGTTGAAGCTGTCTTTTCAAATTCATTGTTGGTGTAATGCACCAACGGCACGCTGGCTGCAGACGCGGGGCGTTATTAGCACTGCAGCCTGTTCTGTGACACACTAATGGGCTGTTTACTACAATGCAAACATCTTCCACCCTGCAGCAGCCTTCATTATTCCCCCTGCTGTAACGTAGCCTCATCAATGTTTTACACCACGGCTCTGCTGTGAGAACGAGTGCTGCAACGAGACACACATGCCACACACACACACTCGCACCGCTAACGTGACCGAGAGGAAGCAGCCCCTTTGACTTCATTCCCCTCAACCTGCAAGTGCTTCCTTTTCTGCATTTGCAGCATTCGTGTGTTGGTTAATAATTATCTCAGTTGATAAGAGCTCTATTCATGAAGCTTTAACCTATGACCAGTGTTCGGACAATGGTCACGCTAAACCGTTAAGTCTACTTGAACGCTTCCCCTTCTGATTATAAGGGGACCTGTGTACTAGATACTGTGTATGTGTTTGTCCAGGTATCTCAAATGGTGGTACAAGAAGACCCAGGTGGAAAAGAAAGCACCCTTCATTGATATGTTTCGTGCCCAACCCTTACGTCAAATATACGGTGAGTTCAGGATCTCCAGAGGGGTGTAACCATAGATGTATTGACTCACTGATAAATGATCCAATATCATGGATGCGAGGTGCAAACCGATGCACATGGTGCTAGTATTTGTCTACGTCGTCAGTGTAATCGGTCAAGCACTTAGAAACCATTGAATCGAAGTTGACATCCTTCTCTGAGTTGCAGGCGCTCCACTGGGCGGCATCGGAGGAGGAACCATCACGAGAGGTTGGAGGGGGGAATTCTGCAGATGGCAACTTAACCCTGGGATGTACCACTACAAAACTGTCACAGCAAACCAGGTACGCCTGCTATCTAATGCACAGAGACTGGGCTGAGAGCATCCCACATCACAAAGAAACACTAAAGCAGTGCTTCCCAATAGGGGTTGGAACGCCCGGGGGGGGGGGGGGGGGTCACGGCTGCATTGACCAACCCTGACACACAGCAGATGATGTCCTGTAGAAACTGCTCGACTTATTTGTATCTCAGCCATCAAAGGCGAACGGGGTTCCCCCCTCCCATGCAGTCACATATCGCAGGAACTCACGGGGGCCGGTTCAGGCGTTTTTTGACATCTCATTAGAGTTTCTGTTCTCGGGTGTTATTTTTAAAGATTGCGACCACGGAAACTGTTAACCTGCATTAATGGGTCTATTCGTTCGTTCGTTTATGGTGTCATTCTTCTCTTTGCTTGAACAAATGACCAAATGTCACATTGACATATTTCCAATGCAGCCAAAGCGGAGTAATAACACTTTATTTACTTGAAGCAGTAATCCTCCTCTAGTGGTTGTCGTGGAGGAGAAAGGTCTCTCTGATTATTTACAGACTGAAACCTCTTTGGGAAACACAGCATTGGGTTGTCTGAGTACAGGGTGTGGCTCTTCTTTTCTTCTCCTGTTGTTATGGTCATTATAACTATACTGCTCTCCACTTACTGTTGTATGCAAAATCCGGTTTAGACATTTGACTAAAGCTTTGCCAAAGGGCGTTCTGGGACAAGTAGAAAGGTGAGGTCAATGGGGCAGTGTACATAAAAGAGAAAATCCCACACAAAAACCTTGTGGTGGTGTCCAAATGCCTCATTGCCTAACTCGATTTTCACATCCTCTTTTTCTTAGTTCACAGTGTGTTTGCGTCGTGGGGGACGAACCGTCTACCAGCAGGTGTTGTCTGTAGAGCGTCCTCCCACGCTGCAAGGCTGGAACTGGGGCTACTGCGGAGAGTACGCCTTCTATCACGCCCTGTACCCCCGCGCCTGGACGGTCTACCACCTGCCGGGACAGAACGTCACATTGACCTGCAGACAGATTTCCCCCGTCATCCCGCACGACTACCAGGTGACCGAGGCCTCGCACGACCCAAAAAGAGTTCTCAGACTTTAGTCGGACCCGCTCAATATCTGCTTCCAAAATGTAAGACCTTTAGTTGTGGAAACCTCCTGAGACGGGGGTGCCCAATAGGTCGATCCGTCAGCCGGACTCTGAGAGGTCAATGAAGTAGGGAGCGTGCATCCTACACGCGTCCCTAGTTAAGCGACTCCTCCGCGCTCTTCTGCTTTCCCCATCAGGACTCGAGCCTCCCCGGTGGCCGTATTCGTGTGGGACGTAGAGAACAACAACGACGACGCCCTGGACGTCTCCATCATGTTCACCGTGGTCAACGGCTCGGGGCACAAGGACGACAAGAGCGGGGGACACTGGAATGAGCCGTTCCACCTGGAGAAGGAGGGGGAGGCGGTGTCCGGGGTCTTGCTCCATCACTGCACCTCAGTGAACCCTTACACTCTGTGCGTCGCAGCCCGAGAACAGGTCAGACTCACCCGCTGAGGTTTTCTTGTAATGGATCCTATACTTTGTCCTCAGGGAATAAACAGGATTTTGAAACAAGTCTGGAGTCCAACAACAGTGGATTTAAATAAGTGTTTATTTACCAGGAGCATGTGTGTGCACTTTTAACAGCCCGACAGGGAGGTCAGTCACCAGACAGCGTTCAGTCCGAAGGGAACCTGCAGCGGCCTGTGGAGCGACCTCATCGCTGACGGACGCCTGGACTCGCCTACAGGTGAGTGCCGACTAAATAGGAAGCCCACCGATTTTCTTGGCGAAACCCGCCCTGCGCAGCATTCAAACATTACCGTGGCCAGGCATTCGTAAGCTGAGATAAAATGAGATTATCCTTCATTAGTCCTGCGGCAGAGAAATTTAAAGGACTACAGAAGCAAAAGGGGGTAAAGTGCACACTGTATTTAAAAAAAATAATAAAAAATATATTAAAAGTTTTAATTTGCAGTAATGGAATAAAAAAACCTATAAACTGTAATTGCTTAGTAACCCGCATTGTTCAGGTCCTAAACCGTAACCATATATTCCTCAACCAGCCACGCAGGGCGGGTGTCACAGTGGGATCCATAATTCTAATTCATAGCAACTCATCACAAAGCAGTACCATGAAAAGTGGAAGGAAGTAGAATGAAAGCGATTGACCGTAAAAAAACACCCACAACAGCAATACAACCTTTGAGCATTTTAACACTGAGCAAAAAACAGTGGTTGAAAATGTGGTGCAACCCTTGTCAAAAAAAGTTAAACCTCATCATTTATCACCAAAATCATTGTTGGCCTTTTTTGATCTGTGGTTGAACTCTCGCCGCTGCAGGATCCAGCCCGCCGACGCCTAAAGGAGAGAAGGTGGCGGCAGCGTTGGCCGTGGGCTGCTCGGTGGCGGCTCGGAGCCGGAACTGCCTGGAGTTCTGCCTGGCCTGGGACATGCCCACCATCACCTTTGGCTCCAGGGAGAGGGAACACATCAGGTACGTCGAACATGCAACGCAAACAGGCTGGAGAGCTTTTTTTTTTTCCTTTTCACGTTTGTTGCTTTTAACTGAAAGGAAAAAGACCAGACTAATGTTGTCTGGTTAACTCTCTCGGCTGTGGGCACCTGGTTCCCTTCTGGTGCCGGGAACGCTGCGGTCGAGCGCTAACAAAGCTCGTGGCTGTCCGTGCTCGTTCCTCTTTTTTAAATCGTTGGCACTGCCCAAAGCAACCGTCTCTTTATTTGCAAAACCTTCAGTGACAAACAAATGTCGTGTCTTTAGGCCGAACCCTCGACCTCATTGTTGGAATACTGTGAAGTAATATGAATGTCTGACATATGAAGAAACAAAACTTTTCAAATGTTGTCCGTCCAAAAAAGCATTGCATTTGTTGATGAACGTGTACTTGACACATCCGCGCGTTTCCCCGTTTGCAGGAGGTACACTCGTTACTTTGGGAGCAAAGGGGACGCGTCCCCATCGCTCGGTCACCACGCACTGACACACTACAGAGAGTGGGAGAGGCGCATCGACGAGTGGCAAAGGCCCATTCTGCAGGACAGGTAGCTCGACGTTTTAAAAGCTCTGTGGGTGACGCGAGGAAATAAAATCGTTGTTGCTGTGTTCTATCCTCCTCGCCTCGGCCTGCGTTGCAGCTCTCTCCCCTCCTGGTACAAGTCGGCCCTGTTTAACGAGTTGTACTTCGTGGTGGACGGAAGGGACGGTGTGGACGGAGCTACCGGAGGACGCCGACGTCAGCGGCGGCGTGCGTAGCGAGGACGGGGGGCTGCCGGCTCAGCCCGCCGTCATCAAGGAGTTTGGCCGCTTCGCCTACCTGGAAGGTGAATGCCGATGAGGTTTAGAGCTGAGATAATCGCACAGAAACTGGATCAGCCAGTGTTGTGATTGGGATGAGAGTACCTAAATTAAACAAAATACCCCACAATGCTATTTCTAAAAAGACCTGTTACGCAAGAAATCCTGAAACTACTGACCGACAGTAGCTGTGGTTAAATGTTTTTCAGGAACTCGTGTGGACTGTGACCCGCTTCACTAAGCTTTTGTTGCTTCACAGGTCAGGAGTACAGAATGTACAACACATACGACGTGCACTTCTACGCCTCCTTTGCGCTCATCATGCTGTGGCCCAAACTGGCCTTGAGCCTGCAGTACGACATCGGTGAGTGTCATCAGTGTTTCATGAACTGGTGTATTTGATAAAGCGTCGTACCAGGGGACGTTTCCTAGCATCGATCTCTTTCTCAGCTGGCAGCGTAATCCAGCAGGACCCGACGGAGAGGCTCCATCTGATGAGTGGGCGGTGTTCTCCGGTCAAGGCCAAAAATGTGGTGCCTCACGACATAGGAGACCCAGGTAAGAGAAAGACTACGTTCCATTCATCACATTTTGCCGAGACGTGAGAATTTTTTTAATTTTTTTTTAAATGACCTCTTGCTACGTGATAGATGATGAGCCATGGCAGAGAGTCAATGCCTACCTCATCCATGACACTGCAGACTGGAAGGACCTCAACCTCAAGTTCGTCCTGCAGGTCTACAGGGACTTTCATCTCACCCAGGACAGTCTGTACCTGCGGGAGATGTGGCCCGTCTGCCAGGTACACCTGAGCGATGTGATCTCATTGTGCTGCCTTTTGACAGGTAGTGGCAGCAACATGAAACACAAGTATACCCAGGTACATTTTGCTTGCTCAGCGGCCTTTGTTCTGGTCGCTCTGCTAGGCGGTGATGGAGTCAGAGATGAAGTTTGACCTGGATGGAGACGGCCTGATAGAGAACTCTGGATATGCTGACCAGACATATGACGGATGGACGGTGACTGGCCCAAGGTGAGAGGACGACAAGACACTGAAGACTTGAAATAAACACCAATGGAGGGGGGAAACTTCTCCCTTCATTTTTGACACGGTAAATCCCTATTTCCTCCAAATGCAATTATATTAGTTTTTGGCCCTGAAGGCATTTAATACTCAGGTACCCCCTCTCTTGGGATAAAATCCATTAAATCCTTAAAAACGTTTTTGGCCTCCTCTCTAAAAACAAAGAATCCCCTTTTTTTTGGCATTGAAAACTAAAGTTTTAATCCAGAGGCGGGGGGCCACAAAGAGGAAAAGTAAAAGGGCGGACCTAAGGGGGGGGGGTACCCTTTTATTTTCCGGGTTGTGCCCCCCCCCCCCCCCCCCCCGCTGAACAATCTGTTTTTTATAAATCTGCTTAAAAAGCTTTTGTTTGGCACAATTACAATCGTCTGTGTTCCGCAGTGCATACTGCGGGGGGCTCTGGTTGGCGTCGCTGTGTGTGATGTGCAAAATGGCCCAACTGGTGGACAGCGAAGAGACCCACCGACGCTACAGGGACATTTTGGACAGGGGCCGTGCTGCTTTCGACAAACTGCTGTGGAACGGTATGTTGTATGAACCAACGGTGAGATGGATGACGAGCTGATTTACTTCCATTGAAATGAAAACAAGAACATGTTATTTGATATTCCTTTCCTGTTTAGGCAAGTACTACAACTACGACAGCAGTGGAAGAGACCTTTCTAACAGTGTCATGTCCGACCAGTGCGCCGGCCACTGGTTCCTGAGAGCGTCCGGCTTGGGAGAGGGAGACTACAAGGCAAGTTAAAACCCTGGTACCGCCTGTGAGCGAGCAGTAACCTCTGAGCAGGGCATGAGATGGGTGGGGCCAAACTAGATGTAATCAAGTCTAAGGTATGAAAGAAGGGTAATGTCCATAAAACACCTGAGAAAGAAGAAAAGGAATATGAGACTCTCCTTCCAATGGTGGATGTCCGAAGGAGAACAGGAAGTCCAGTCTCATCCAAGCCGTTTGCGCGTCCTCTTTATGTTCTCCTTGCTGTCTTTGTTTGTCTCCCCCCCCCATTTCACATGTGTGTCTCCTCACTCTCAATACCACAATACCTTCATAGTAAGAAAACGGCTAGTTTAGCAAATATACATACAATTGTACAAAGTAAATTGCTTTTTGTATGCGTGATGCATGACCTAACCTCTCTTCCTTTCCCTATGCCAGTCTGCAAAATGGGAGTCTTTACCTACGTCAAAGCCCTGTGGTCACATTATTACTTCCTCTCTCCCCCTGCAGGCTTTTCCAAAAGAAAAAATCCAGAGTGCACTCAAATCCGTCTTTGACCTGAACGTGATGAGCTTCGCTGGAGGCCAGATGGGGGCCGTTAATGGCATGCGTCCGGAAGGAGTACCGGACCGCTCCAGTGTCCAGTCAGATGAGGTCTGGATTGGAGTAGTGTATGGACTGGCAGCCACTATGATCCATGAGGTAAGTGTGTGTATTTTAGGAACTACTTCACATTCAAGGGTCAAAACAATAGGCAAACACCAGTTATTTGGAGGCATTATTTGACGTTAAGTTGCAGTTCTGTTGTTGGAATGATATTTTATTCTAAAATGTTAACTCTTAATTATTACTCCTGCCTCATATCAAAAGGATGGTTATAACAGTGGTATTGATCTTCTGTTCTAACCCTTTTAAAGAATGCAAACAAGTCAAAAATATAGTTGGTTAGTGACACTTACAATTTAACTTATTGATAACTTCGGTTTGTGCCGACTGCATGATGCGAAGTGCGATCGTGCCTCAAGCCCGAGTCTTTCTTTCCTCAGGGTATGAAGGAGGAGGGTATGCGTACAGCGGAGGGTTGCTACCGCACTGTGTGGGAGAGGCTGGGCATGGCCTTCCAGACCCCCGAAGCCTACTGCGAGAAGGGCATCTACCGCTCTCTGGCCTACATGAGGCCTCTGAGCGTCTGGGCCATGCAGCTGGCGCTGAACTCTTCACAGAAAGATCAGGCCACATCGGCTCGGGCCAGAGCCACTGACGAGAAGCAGGAACCGGATTTGAGAGAAGAGAGCTAGTGCCTGAGCGAAAAGATCGGTGGGATTAGAGAAATTACCTCCAAGCTCTCCTGCCGCCACTGCCCTCATTCCCACTCTCACCCCACAGGGGTTTGTACGATTGTTTTTCTTGACTTTCATTTGTTAGCTTTTTTTCTTCAGGTGTTTGCGGCTCAAGGTCAGAACTGACAACTGACACTTGCTGTCACTTGCTACTGAAGTTGATATTTTTTGTAAGATTGTAAACTATCTGCAACTCCTCACCAATTTCCTTTTTTGTTAAGTTATGCAGTGTAAGGTGCTAACTAGGCAACATCAAACATTTGTGTATGAAGTCTGTATTGCTGATTAAAAATTGGCCTTGTGTTTCAGCACCATATTGTCTATTTGCACACATGTACACATACATGAAATTACTACATTTCATTTTTACATTACTTTACATTTGGAACAAGTTTATATTCATTAATTTTTGAGGACTGTTTTATGTTATTAGACACGTGTAGTCATTAATGTCATTTGAAAGCCTGTGAGTGAATAGTCGCAGGCTGGAAGTCAGATTGGAAGGATTCCTCAGAGATCGACTCTTGAAAGAAAAGTGAATTTGAGGATTTACTTTTCTTTTATTTGACTGCCAAGTGGCGTGATATGGGATGAATAGTGTTGGGAATTCAGTATGATTAATTTTTATGATTTATTTCTAATATTATGCTATCTATGGCATTTGGTGCCTTAAGGCATGTTCACTCTCTCTACAGTATATTAATGTAGCGGCAACATTTACCATGTTTTATAAAATTCAATATTCATGACAATCGTGCTTAATTAAATGACTGGATACGACACAAATAAGAGGGTTGTGAAATAATTGTTTATGGAAAAAAATATATTAGTAGTTAGGACATACAAATAAACTGCAAATTCTGGTATGTCTGCATTTCTTTACAATCTCAAAACGTCCCTGGGTGGGCTTGAACCACCAACCTTTCGGTTAACAGCCGAAAGCGCTGACCAATTGCGCCACAGAGACCTTTCTGACAGCCGTTTCGGGTAATTACGCCCAATGGCAAGGCCACTCCCCAAATTCGTTAAGAGATAAAGTGTCTTCAAAAGGTGATGTTATGATTTAATTTCTTCACAATCTCAAAACGTCCCTGGGTGGGCTTGAACCAGCCGAACGCGCTGACCAATTGCGCCACAGAGACCTCTCTGACAGCCGATTTGGGTAATTACGCCCAATGGCAAGGCAACTCCCCTAATTCGATTAAGAGATAAAGTGTCTTTATAAATTATTTTAAGTCTACATTTCTTTACAATCTCAAAACGTCCCTGGGTGGGCTTGAACCACCAACCTTTCGGTTAACAGCCGAACGCGCTGACCCAATTGCGCCACAGAGACACTTTCTGACAACCGATTTGGGTAATTACGCCCAATGGCAAGGCCACTCCC